TCTCTAATGAAAGGCTTTCAGTTGAGAAAGAGGGTACTGACATTGATGTCGATCACAAACCAAACCTCCTTGGAGGCGTCTTGCCATCTTTTCCAGCTCACCAATGGGCAAGAGCACTATTTGTGCGGTGCTCTACTACGCCGGATCAACTCGATGTAACTGTTATAAAGACCCGCTTCTTAAGGAGAAAAACTGCAACAGGGAATCGGCTTGCTCTGAAAAAGGCGGAACGGCATCGCGGCTCTGAAAAAGGCGGAAAGGCCGAGGCGTTAGCATCGGCCTGCTGCAAATAAAGTTATCGGGAAACTAATGCATACTGCGCATAAACCAGAAGGAAACTCCATTTATGAGAAGCGCAACAGCAAACAGGTCGTAGCGGAAGGTTCCTTCATATCAATAACCCACCAACGGAAAGTGCTTTTTTGTTTCAAGATTTGCAGCAAAAATGTACCACATATAAAGTGAAAATGTCGATAGTTCCTATTTACAAGTTCAAACCATGTAGCGTAAAGGTTGCAACAGGTGAAAAATAACACCTCATGCGCAGTTGCTTGCAGATTTCGATGAATTAATGAGCATTCGTCTACATTAAACTTTAAACACAACTCTTTGATGAGTAATATGAAAACCTGCTTGAGAAGCGCAAGAAGGAACCGTTTTGCACATGACGGATGACAGTGTGTTGCTGTCGTTGAAATTTGACAACATTCACATACGGAAAGGAGCACGTCCAGTTGGTGCTACCCTCATAAGAATTACCTTCAAAAAGTTTCTCTGGTACATCGCATCATTTTTCAGAGAAATGTGTTTGAGAAAAATTTTACGCGTCGGTTGTAAAGTAGTTGCTTTGCGATTAAAAATAAAGTTATGTGGACATCACAAAAATGCACCGTACAATTTTAACTAACTCTTTTCATTAGTAAAAGCTAAAGCTCTCGGTGTTGATCAATCCTTGAGGGTATACCATGCATTCGACCTTACCAAGAGCGCTTAGAGGCGGCACACCGATGTATCGTGCCAGTACTGCTATTCTTCTAGACAGGTTTAGTAGCAATCTCCGACCCCGGAGCGATGGAAGGCTTGGTAAGCTCAGGGCAGGAGTCGAAACAAAATGACCGCGTGGGTATTGCAGGGCACATCTAACCACTACACTACACATGCCCTTTCTATATTTCCGTCAACTAATAAAAGTCCAACTAGTGACTTGGCACTGGATACTAGCTGCTGGTCATTGAAGTCGAGTTGTGCTTGTGCTTAGTTGGTACGTGGGTTCGATCGCGGCCATTTCACAATGGCATCGCAAAGCTCTAGAGTAGGAAGCTTTTCCTTATTCATTCATAGGTATAACGTTGCTATTATGCAATACATTTCACTATATTTCATCTGCAAAACATATCGCTGTCATAATTGAGAAGTTTCTCGGATATTTTTAATCTATTTCGGTATTTATTACAACAGATTATTTCATGTAATAATCATGATCCATAATTTTTCATTTTATTTTATTTCATTCTATTTTATTTTATTTTATACGACTCGTCTTCACATCCACTGTGCGGATCCCAGCATTTCTCACATTCGATTCATTTCTTCGCACCCAACATCCCCTAAGATCTCTCAACTTTCACGCGTTTCTCACTGGAGCCCTGGGATAGCCGGGCTAAAGCATTCCCAGTTGGATTGTAGAGAGTAATTTTTTTCCAGACAAGTTCGTTACCAATCCCCGAATTCAGATGAAGGAGAGACTCGGTGAGACCGGAACAGGATTGAAACGGCTCCGCGTTCGCGATGACCGCCACCACTACCAGTGTGCCACCCGCCCTTTATGATCCATAATAACAAATGTGAATGGGAAAACACTAAATTCCTGGTCAAATATCGATTTCTGTGTGCTCTACACTAGCAAAGGGTTGGAGGCGTCACTGTGACGCACACGTGGAATTGATCCCTGCGCCCTTGTCCCACTAAGCCTTCCAACCCTCCGGGGTAGGCAAATTCTTGCCAGACTTGTTTGGAAAGATAGCAGCATTGGCTCGATACATCGGTAGGCCACCGCGAGTCATTATAAAGGCCAGATGTGCATTCAATCACCTTCAAACGATGCTTAATGAAGTCGAATGCATGGCGCATTCCTAAAACGATTGATCAACGTCGAGAGCTTTATCCTTTTTCATACCTTTGAAGTTAAAGTTTTCGTAAAAAATTTAAAGTTTGTCATTGTGAAACAAGAAAATCTCACCTTATTATCTTAATTGATAAAGGTTTACAGTGAACTAAAATATGCTTGTTAAAAGGTACAATTCATGTCGGACTCTTATAAATTGGAAGTAACTCATTAATGAAATCAATCATTAAACGGGACTGAGAACACGGGGTTGCTGAAGCCGATCATCACGAGCGCGATGCTGATTTGATTCCTTTTACGGGCTCGCGAATCTTTTCGTGCCTCTGTTATCGGTAAAATAGGGAAATTAGTACCGGTCCTGTCCGAGAAAAAATTGCTTTCTGCAATCCACTTGGTAGTGCTCCAGTCGAGCTCTCTCAGGACTCCAGCTGCAGTCGACCCAATACCATTGAACGACATTGAAAAATTGAAAATTCTGAAGCAGCAATTGAAGCCAAACGTAAAAGTTGGATCACCTTCGCGGATGATGGATTCGAGGACGCGAATCGATTGTAAGAACTGCTGGGATCCGCACAGCTGCTGTGAAAGAGGTCGTGTAAGATAAGTTGCATGGAACAAAATAAATATAAAAAGCACCGACAGATAGGTACGAAAATTGGCAGCCTTAATAAGTGAACGGAAGTTTTCAGCAGAAAAGCTGGAATCGCTGTTCTATAACGCTTGAGGAAAATTATAGGATTTCCGCCTAAACCGTACATAGGGCGCCTCTTTTTTCTGAGGTCACCTTCGCTCTCTACTTCCTCGGTCTGTTTCTGTTTTTCGTTCCACGTCTTCTACCTCATCCATTTCTGTCATTAGGCTAGTTGCCAATGACTTAAACTTTGATCTCAGTCGTATTTTCGGCAGTGGTGACATTAAAGAAGTTGGAGGTGTTCTGTACTTCTTGCCGTTTCAAGGCACTGTGAAGTAAACGATCGGAGCTACTCTTGTAAGTGCTGAAAAAGTTAACACTAAGTGTATCCATTGTACTTGGATACTTGGATAGCCCATCACTGGCTGTGGAGACCCCAGCATCATTTCCACTTTTTCGGACTTTTGCTAGTTTAGAAAATGTGGTTTCCTGAAATTTCTAGGTCAACCTGGCCAAAGTCTGCTCCACGTTATCACTACCAAAGGCAGTTGCCATCCATGTGGATCAGAGAGGGGCTTGTCACTATACGACCAGTTCGATACCAAGGTGATGGTGGTTCCTGATATTGGTTTATTTTTAGCTGGGCTCCTGGACGGAAACGTCAGGCCTCATCTGAGCTTGGGAGTTCCTTCCAGGGATGATTCTACCCGCTCTACGTTGCAGCCCGACACCCAGAAACACCACCCACCGACGACGAAATGATAAAACATTGGAAGCCAGGGTGTTCTCGACTGGTGCATCCATTGTAGGAAACAACCATTGTTGCTTAAAATGTCTCGATAGACCTTATACAATTTGTACGTTATTGGCACCATCTTCTATGTAGAGACAATTTATTGATAGCAAGAAATGTAAGCTTCAAGCGGAGATTGCAACTGCTTTCAGGTATGTAAAAACGATCTCTGAAAGACGTTGATTTGGTTTTGATTGCAGGTAAAAATTTCAGGATGTCATCTTTATCATTGTTACCGCTATCAGTTGTTACTTTTAGCTTATATGATGTATGATATGCATGCACATCACATCTGTGTATATTTTCAATTGTAAGTTGTATGTTACAAAATAAATGTAGAAACGTGACAAGACTTGATAAACGTGTCGAAACATGAGCTGTGTTGAATCGCAATGATGAACACATAGATAAATAAACCTCCAACCACTCCGGAAAAGTCTTCTCGATATTTCTGCCATCATCTTATTCCAGTAATGAGTTTTCTCTAAGTGTCGAATCCTAGAGTTCAAGTAGAGGCGTTTTTGTACCACTCAATTGCTCGTACTCCCTAGAGTAGCAGCAGTCTCTCGTTCCGAAGTGGAAAACGAGATTTTCGTTTAAGAAGGGTTTCTTCTTTCAAATTATTAGCTACAAAGAACGCTCTTTCTGGAACCACTTCTGCTATTTGATCTATGAAATACAGGCCATTGATAGAATAGCAAAACTGCAGTGAAAAATCTCCGTAAATCAGTGAACAGCAGTGCACCCATGTCGACCCGCTCATTCTTCAACATTTTAAAAACGTAAACGGCTACTTTCTTTTAGCATCGAATGAATTGAAGTCGTTGAATGTCGGACATTATGTATTAGAGTATAACTCATAAAAACGAGAAGACGATTCCTAAAACGAAGAATAATTCGCTGATGAAACAATTTTCAGTGACCACCGACACGGATCATCGGCTGTGATGAAGATGAAGACATCGAAACGTTAGCTGAAACAAATAAGTTTATCAGCCTCGTGAGCGCGTATAACGCAGTGGTCGGATGCGCCATTCGACGCACACGTGGTATCGATCCACACTCTCATGGTAAGGTCAAATATGCATTTTCACCTCCAAACGATGCTTAATGAAGTCGAATGCACGACGCATCCCTCAGGCATTGATCAGCGACTGGAGCTTTATCCTTTATCCTTTATCAACGTCGTGTAAGCACAACAGATTAAAAACATGTCAATTCGCTGATGAATCCAAATATTTATGTGCTGTGAATATGCTATTTTCCATTAAATTAATTTGTACAGAACAAGTGCTATTTGAAAACCTTGTTTTGCTATGAATACAGTAATGCTAAGATTAGTACGCAAAATGTTTGCGGCTCATACATTTTTTTCTGAAAACGTGTCATACGAGGAGAATTGAAGAATTTCTTTATTCCTAGATGTGTAATAAGTTCACTCCAGCAATGTTTCACGGTATATCAGTGCCTTTATGTTCATCATCAACCACGCCCATAACATCCATGACATCCAGCCCTTTGAGAACCATACTGGTAAGGGGAATTCCACCTATAGGTGCTAGCCGCACTAGCATATGGATTACTTTGACCGAACTGGGTAGTTGCACCGTACTGGAAAGCACGAAATCTTCTGCCACTTAACTGTCTAGCGATATTACGAAACATATTTGTAAGAAAATTTTTAAACAATTCAACCACAAATGGATGATTAAGTAAAGCAATTGGATTAATTGATATAAAATTGGGCACTTGCAAACGAGCCGCCGCATCCCCTTGCCGTTTCTCTCGTGACACTCTGAAAGTAATTTTTTCACTAATACAAGTATCTCCTTGGGCAAATGCTAGGCTGCTCTGGCTGCATTTATGACGACGCGCCCTGCAAACCCTGGCAGTGGAACGGTTCTTTTTCTTCGGATTTATTGATGTCAGTTTGGCTAGAGAATTTTCATGTGTTGACTACAAATAATCATCAAATTTATTCACTTACAAGAATCAAATAAATGAAAGTGCAAGACCGCTATTGTTCACCACATCAGGGACAAAGAAAATAAGTCAATCGAAGTTAATGTGGTTCCACATCTATCACTAGGTTACATTTTGCGCGTTTGCATAATACGGTGCTAATACGACGTACTAGTCATTAAGTGCGTGTGGTGGAGTGGTCGGAGGTGCCCTGCGACACACACGTGAAATCGATCCCCGCGCCCATAGTCCACCAAGCCCTCCATCCCTCCGAGGTCGGCATACCGGCACCAGACCTATCTGGGAGGATACCAAAACTGGCTCGATACACCGGGAGTCATTGTATAGGCCAGATATGCATTGAATCACCTCCAACGATGTACAATGAAGTCGAATGTATGGTGCATACCTCAGTGATTGATCAACGCCGAGAGATTCATTCTTTTTCACTAGTCACTAGATAGAAGTCATGTTATTCCGATGAGAAGGGCACATTACGCTTCCGTGTGAATTCTGTGCGGTTGGTCTTCATACGACATACTATGTGGAAGCCTCATAAAAAGCGGTGAGTGTGCAAAGTTGTGTTCAATGTGATTGAAATCTAGGTTCAGCATTTTCTTTGTTTGGTTATGAAGGTGTTTGGTCGTCTAGATTGCAGTCAACTTGACCTTTCCAGGCTTTGAAGAAAGCGAAATCCGCCGAAACGTCAGCTTGTACGTAGATAAAGAAATAAAATAATACCTCGCGTTTGTTGAACAGAAGTAGAAAGAATTATTCAATCAATACCGAGGTTAATAAAAAGTCGGACGTGGGAACAAATAGAAATCTAAAATCGACCAAGCGGTGGCATGGATTAGTATGCTTTCACACATGTCTTCAAGTATATTTAACCAAGAGTTAGCATGAAGTGTTGCTCCTTTTCGAATAATCAGCGTCGGACTAGATTTTGCAGTGTTGATTTTTGCCGCTTACGATGCAGAGGCTTTTGCGTGCGATGGTATCGCGATGACCCAAGAAGCTGCAGTGAATGAATTCGCTTTTATATCACGTAAATGATGACGTCCTTCGCTAGTAGTAGCGACTTTAGCCTGGCAAAGAGTGGTTCTAATTCTCCTCAGAAGAGCCACTATAAAGACGTTATTTCTTGTTCTAGAAAACCCCTTCTTTCCCACTGACGGGCAGAATCCCAGCAACAGATGAAACATTCTTTTGAACGAAAGGCAAAGTGGACCTCGTTTTAATAAATTTGTTTTGTTCACCCTTTCACCATTGAATGCTACAACATAGTTTTTCCTATTTGGTGTAGATGTGGAGCTGTTGGACGACTAAAGTTTAGTTCCTACATGATCTGTCAAGTTGCTTTACGTGCGCTCGTTGTAATGAACGATGGATGGTTGGCATCGATAACTGAGCGTTCTCCACCTTCGCGTTTTCTGGAGCGATCTTTCCCTTCCGGTGTTCCAGTGTAACACTTGCGTCATATCTAGTGAAATCACCCAAATGTTCCTTCGTCTATACTATGACGTCATGAAATGAACAAAAATAAGCCGCTGGAATAAACCGAACGAGGAAAATATCTACGTGATTTTACTCAACGAATAGCCCATCCCCAGAAAGAATTTGCGATCCGGAGAACAATTTCTGGTTAACCGGTGCACTGCTTGGTGACCAAGTCTTTCCTTCTATGAAGACACAAGATAACTGCTCCGATGCTTCACAGATGGTTTTCGGTTTACCTGGAACGGAAACAGATAGGCCATTTTGGCACAAGGTTGCTATCACGGCGGCGGTGATCTCCTTTATGCCTAGAGAAGCGACGACACAGAAGTATTCATTGAAATTGGATTGCCATACTGTCCAACCATTTTGGAAGGGGTCGCTACTTAGGAAGAGAACATATTTGCACGAGCAGTCGAGTTAAACTTGGCTACAAAAATTGACACTACAGACATAAAACGAAGTGATCACGGTGAGATTCTCACCGTTAGAACAGCTTGCTAACATTTCGTGCTTAATCTGAGCATAAAAACTATGGGAATAATATGTCATTGCCCTTTCTAATGTGATTTTGTTCACACAGATTCGAGCACACCACAAACTAACTGAAGCTTTGCGCACCTTGTAATGATGTGGCGAATTTCCGCTGCTTTTACCGGACGCTCTGGCAGTCCCACATTAGCTTCCGCAAGTGAATCGGCTATCACCAAGAAGGAAATAACTGCTAGTGTGGCTAGAAATTTGTTCATTACCTGAAAAAATATGAGATGCTTTGCTCACTTTTCGTTGAGGAATAGTTTCACGACCTTATAAAACACTATCTGGAAGAAGGATATGACGCTCGACGAGTCCCTAGAGCGAGCAGAACCCACTGGGCTACTCTTGCACGCGACAAGGAAAAATGGAAGATTTGCTGGCACCCGCTCGAGTCACTCGACGATCAACGGGGCTACAGGTGATACAGGTAATAAAACACTATATAATGGGCAACAGTGCATATTTCAAATACAACGTAACGCATGTATTCTTTCATTTATAAGCTAACACAAGGTTGATAAAAATCTTCATTCGGCAACATTTCGTCGCATTCATCTTCTTAGGGAACGGATTCATCCAAGTCTGTCAACGACAGTTGTTCCACTTCCCGATGTAGGACTTTGTCTTTGAATCGAGTTGAATCCACTGGGACACCGCTGGAATGAAGTAGTCTAACTCGGCAGTGCTCGTTTAAATAGGATGGTTGTCGATACTTTTGTGACCGTTTATTTTTCTCTGGTCAATCCATCTTGCGGCAGTCGGTCTCATTATCAACAAGAACAGGATGCAACAATATTTCCAAAATCGATTTATCTTCAACCTCGGCAAAAATAATCAATAAGTACTCTTCCACTGGAAAGCTAATACCAAGTTTATAAGAATAATATTTCATTTAGCTACATTTTTAAGCAGCCTTGTATTAGTTTGTAAGTGAAGGAATGAAGGAATGCTTATTCATTAGTGATGCCGAAGTAAAAGCAGTGTCGGATTTTAGAGCAGTGCGATGTGGTTCCAAACACCCGCGGCAGTTTTTACCTGTTTAATCGATTTAGTTAATTGTAAGGCGACTCAAACAGGTCTAGAAATATTTTTTTCTGACGTCTGCAACGGACATGGGTTGTCTCAGTGGCTAACGATGACCACGTGGATACGGCGACCACCACGTTTTTTTTTCCCATCAACTTTTCAAGGAAATCTGGCCATCATTTCGATTTACTTTCTGTCATTTTTGTGCAAAGGCTAAACTCTTCGGCACTCTACTTTTTTCACAGCGGTTTTTGTATTGCTTAAATCAATGGTATTTTAAGTCGACGGAGATGCAACAAAGGAGGATTATTTAATCAAAGCCGAGGTTAACAGAAAGACGGTCATGGGAATGACGAAGAAGTCTTATGTCCTTTCATAAAATTCCCTTATTAAGTCTTTTTTGAGACCTTGCTTACCCACGTAGCTCCCTTTGATCTAGCCTCCTTACAGAAATTTTTTCTACCTAATGCAATAAAAGGCTCGTAGTTAACACAATGAACATATAAATGACCAGTTTTGCAGGCCCAATTGCCACGCTGGGGTGAAAGAGTGGTCCGACAGCGTCTGCTGGTTCTGGAGTTTCGTAAAATGGTAAATTACTATAGCAGCGTTTTTTTAGGTACTTCTCCTATAGCAGCTCCACCTCAGCACATCAGCTCGACTGTTTATGGAGACACGTCTCTTGGTGGCTGTCAATGTCTCAGTTTTTCACACTGCTGTTAAGGCAAGCATATGTATAGAACTCCTTTGTTTTTGTACTTTTCGTTGGTGCGTTGAACAAAGTAGTTTTTGTCCGCCTCCAGTACATTCGTTTTTTGCGGTTGGCTCTTTCGGCTTGGTATGATCAAGCGCTGCTTCACGGTGCTCGACAAATAGATGCCATACTTGTTAGACAGGAAAAAACGCTAACTTGGCATACGCACAAGACACACCACAACTTGTAAAAGGCAAATATGTATTCAATCAATTCTGCGATGCTGAGTATGGGGTCGAACACATGATGTATTCCTAACGGATTGAACGAGAGTGATCTCATCCTTTCACGACTTATATCAAACGTGTTGAACAGGCTTACTGTGACCTGTTCGCTACCAATGTTCTCGACAACGGCAATGATCTGAGCAAATAGCAATTTATGATGGGTATGGGAACTGGCTTCTTGAATTTTGCGGCTCCGTTTGATAAATAGAACGTTGTGTGAAGAATGCGTCGTTTTCTTGTTCAGCAATCGCTAGGTTTTTAAACAGCATACATTTACTTCCATAGAGAAACACAATACAATAATACAATACGTCATCAACCACATGCGACTATAATCAGCTGTTCTGAACTTCCTCATTGGAAGTCACGTAAAAAGCGACTCTGAAGAAGGCGATAGTGCCGAAACGTCAGCTAGTGTTGTATTGTATTGTGTTTCTCTATGGAAGTAAATGTATGCTGTTTAAAAACCTAGCGATTGCTGAACAAGAAAACGACGCAAGTTTGAAGAATGCTCAGAAATAGGCGCGAGTGGTACAGTTATCTCTATGAAATCTCAATCTGCATAGAAAGTGGCGACGTCGTCTTTGTAAAAATCTGATTTTAAATCTTAGACGAAGAAGACTCTCAATTCAATGCCAAACTCGTGTTGACAATGTACCCGTTCAAATCTTCCTATAAATCGCTAATTACCGGCAATACAAGCAATCAGCTGATGCGGAAGATGAAGACGATTGTAAATGGGGCAACCAGAGTGAACAGCAGTAGAGGCAAGAGGAGCGTGTATTTTCCACAGTACATGGCACCCAACATGCATTTTTTTCCTATGTATTAGTTGCGAAACAGTGGCCACTTCCCAGAGCAACATTTCTTCGTTCGCAACAAACTTCACTGATTGGAAAAAATCCGTCATAAATCGCATATCCGTGCATTCAACGTCAACGTTATGGTCTCTGTCGCTAGCCTGGAGAAGCTTTTATAATATTCTCCTCATTCTGTACATCCAATCCACATTTCGTTTGAGGTAGTGAAACTTTCACAAGAAAAAGATGACAGTGAGGTAAAGACTAAGCTATGTGCTCATCATGTGGTTTTTTGTCGAGAAACGTTTAGGAGTGACTGGAATCAGAAAGCAACACTGATTCTACAATTATCAACTCGTTGAAATTTTCCACCTTGGACCACTCCAAGTTCAGCACTTTTCCCCACAACTTGTAATAATCTTAAGCAATTAGTCGAAAATTTCATGACAATAACGAAGAGACGGTAAATCGGCGGAACAGCAATCCTTAATAGTCAGAAATATAATGAAGGCTTCATGCGCCAAGAGACACCCTGTACATTCCATTGCAATCGTAGCAACATAGAGGTGGTTGATTGGATTTCTGACCTATACAAAGACTTGTCGAAGACCATTATTAGCGCAACTAATCGTTCTTTCCGCCCTACCAGGTAGCCCAGATACCAACAATCTAAAATTTGGAAGAACAGAGGGTATAACGATCCCAAAGTGGCGAGGTCGAACGAGGAACCATCTGTGTATTGTAGCGCATCTCTAACTACGGCGCTATACCCACAACCTAAAACTGTGCAGGGAAATCGCTCTAGGTTGGGTACGTTTTATAAAACATCACACGTAAGATTTTCTTCGAACGAAGGGTAATTTAATTCTGTACTGTGAAAGAACAAAATGGTGACGTATAAGACAGTAAGAACAGAACTGTAAAGAAGGGTTTATTTACCTTAACCGCCCAGATCCTTAGACGGTTTGAAGGAGACTCTTCTCAGTTAGTTTTGTCCAGTTATGTTGTTCCACTTTATTCTAAGCAGAGGGCCGTTGTGGTAAAAAAGCTATTAGTGCACTTGATAGATGACAGTTTGTTGTTTTAATTGAAAGATAACAGTTCCATTTAGTGAAAACACATCATCTATTTCTTCTAGGAATGGCTAAATTTTTAAAGGATATTTGTAATAAATAGACAGAAGATGTACTCCCAAGTATTTTTGAAAACTGTTCTTCGAATACGTTCTTTACGACTGGAAGTAAAGTTCGTCTACTTCCTGAGCCCAAGAGAGCGAACCACACTGTTGGGATTTCCTTTCACTTTCTTACAACGTAATAAAGGTTTATCTAGTGTCTTATAATATCTAAACGAGGAAGTTTAAGTTGAGTTTTTTCCATTTTTTGATTTTCACTTATTCTTAATAAGTGATTTCATTCAGAATTGTGGTATTGTGCTGATTCACTGTCGATATGAGGCCCTTTTAGTGGAATTTCCTTGTACTGGAATGCAGAAGAATATAAATGGGCTTTGTCGTTGTGGCACGAAGCGATGGTAGTCGGTGAGATCTAATATTTATATATATCTAGTTTTTTATCGAAAGACCGTCGTAGTACAAGGGACTTTTACCTTACTGGATACTTAAAGTACTACTGATTGCGTTTCTCCAGCGAAGTGACAGTGTTTGGCGCTTATGATTGACCACGACCATATCCTTTAATGACACGGCAACATCTAAGTTGTGGGATGCGGTGTTATTTTGCACCTTAGAGAAAAACGTTTGTACTATTGTCTAATACTACGACCTCAATCGAAAGATTTGTGTTCCTCAAAAATTTGTTATCTTACCGAAGATTAAAGCAATCGTCCTACCTGCCTTTGGTTACGCAACCTGATGAAAGGTTCCGGGTAGTACATTCGTTGAGACTTACAAACGGAGAGAACCTTGACTACTGTTTCTTCATCTTCTGTGACAATTCTTTGTCACATCCTCTCTACTGCTAGAATTATCTCAGTTGCCAAGCCCCGCTTCAGGTTAGTACTACCGTCGCCATATATTAATTCCATTTTTACTGTAAATCCTTTTAGCGCCAAGCCAATAGAGCCTAATAGTGTCTCCATTACCAATACTGCATTATATGCAGCGGCAGCTCAATTTTACAGAAGATTTCACTATACCCTGAAGCATTATATCATTAAACACTACCATACGGCTCTCCTGTTGATAAGTAGCATGTTTGCTTCTACAAAAGTGTTATCATTCCTATAAAAGCTTCAATAGGTAAGTTTCATCACTAGTGCTGTTCTGTTACTATGAACAGTTCTACATTCGTTCGTAGTTTCTACTACACGCCTGCACCAAAGGTTGGAAAGTTTATTATGTCTAGTAAACAATATAAGATCCCCAATAAACTGTGCAGAGTCTTCCTATAATTTTAGACTTACTATGCATGCATTTGTCCTTCGTTTTGTTTTAGGCGGCTCGTCACGTTGAACAGGATACGGTGGAATGTCAACGCTCGATCGTTCCACCAGCAGTACCAGAGCACTATTCCACACCAAAATCAGTTATACCCAGCAAACGTGAGAAAGTGTCTGACATTTCCGATCGTACACTTCCTGCTAGCACTACCATAACTTTGATTTTCAGAGCTAATCGAGTCAACGTACTGCATGTTACCTAGGGAAACCAAAGAATATCCGAGATTGTCGACAAGTACAACAACTAGAGATACCAAACACACCGAGGATATGGATCAGAGGCCGCTTGCATCAGTAGTGCCATCTTCTGAGGTAAATAACCGCCACGGATGATAAAACTACCCTTTAACAGTGCCAGGGCAACGAGAAATGATTTCAAAAAGTGACTATGCTGGCAGTAGTGCAGTTTTTGAAGGACAACGCTCGTGGTTTGTAGCAGTTTATATGAACAAAGTCAATCGATTCTTTGTCAGTGGGGAGCACGTTTGACGATGTAGAGAAATATGCGAAATAAACGAGTGGAAGAACTTTTCACAAATACTCGAAAGCTCACGTCGTCGTTTGTGTTGCTAAGCGTCGTGTATAGTCATGTCATTTAATTTCACCACATCTCCAACCAAGGTATATATTTCTGGATTCCTCCCACTTCTACTATTTATAGAGAATTCCGACGTAAAAAGAGAAAAGTCTTATCATAATGAGATTGTTCCGCACTCTTGAACTGCATAACAGTTCATCTTCACTCATCGCAGATGTCACGTTGAAAGAAGCTCAGATCTGAGGCGTCTAGAGGAACAGCTCATTTCTGAGTGATAAAAATTCAGTAGTGCAGCTGAGCATCTTAAGCCATTAAATGAAAGATTGCGTCGAACTAGTCAATTCGTCATAAAGGTGAAGTACAGAAAAGAGATATGCATCACATGTTGCAGACGACTACAAAGCGGATTGTGAAATGCTCTTTTAACAGGTAGAGAATAGCAGACGGCTCAGCTGTTAAGTTACAGAACATTTATAAGTTGCAACACTTCAAGGCATTCCTAATTCCTCGAACACAAAATTCGTTATTGACATATCATAGTTTTAGGCGATGTGATGCCTACTTCTTCTTAAAAGCAGAAAAGAAATAGTGCCAGATAGAGATATCGATTTATTTGTGAGAAAACTAATATTGATATTTCAGGCCTACAGTACTTCACAAGACTGTCACCAATCTTATGAAGCTGTGCCGAAGGTCAAGCGACTGCATATGATATTGCTACAAACACACAAATTGTACAGAAAGCCGAATTGCTTTACAAACCAAAAGAGATTACTGGGCACAGTCTTGTATGCGGGGAAATCTGTTAGGGAAGGGGTTTGACTTGTTTTATCGAAGCGGTGTTTCAGCTGAAGTACGAAATATCAGAATACGCATGGCAACGTCTTGACAAGGAGAGGGAGGAGTTATACGCTATTCGTCCGAATTACGGTGAGTGCATTAGTTTTTCATCTGATATTGATCATCTGGCTACTGATACCATTGTATTCACTATAATCAGACAGACAGAGAGGAAAACATACTTTTAAAACTTACCAAATGTTAACAGCGTTACATTAGAATTGCTGTATAGTTCGGTGCAATAAGTTTGGATAGAGTTGCCTGAACTGTATTCCAGCTTCGTAAGCTGTTAGTAGTAGTAGTAACCTCCCAATGGTTTACCGCCCATCGTGGCTGGGAGGTGTTGCTGGATGTCGAACTGCGATGTACAGCGGGGGATTTATCCCCTGGCAGGGTCTTCCAAGGTGAGAAGGAGACCGGCGTCTCCATCAGGAACCCTGGCTAAAAGTAAACCAATACCAGGATCCACCACCGTCCTGGTATTAAAGTCGTATGTTGGTACCGCACAACAAGTGATCACGGGCCATTCAAGTATCAAGTATTAAGTAGTAGTAAACTGTTTCCCTGTATACAGTTTCCCGCAACGTCTTCATCAGACTGATTTGTACTTTTAACTTGTTACAGTGGATTGGTCTGTAGCATAGTGGTTAGAGCGCCATGTAATAATTAAGCGTCGGTCCGATCCCATACCCTTGTCAAACCGAGCTCCCCATTACTCCGGAGTTGGAAATGTGCTCTCAAGTCATGCTAAAGGATAAATACGCATTTAGTCATTTATACAAGGCAACGAGCGAGTTTTAATGAATGGCTCATAAAGCATGACGAACAAAGACGTACGCTTTAACCTCTAACGCTTCACGCTCGAGTATTATGTGAATGATGTGTGTTAAATTACAAGCTATAGTTTCGGAACTCGCTGACAATTCCCAAGAGTTCGTTTCACATCATTTGGAAATTCAGGACCGGAAGATGAACATCCGCGTGCTCGTATTCACGAAGAACTAGAAGAGATCGCGGAAAGCACGGTTAGAAAAATTCAACTCAGTTAACTTGTGCATGGTTGAATACTTCTTCAGAATCGCCTCGAATTCGATGATGTCAATTCAAAGCAAAATACCGTGAAGGAGCTGAAGCCAACATCCGAACAACTAAGGGTACGCCAAAATTTCGTTGCCGTCTATCTTTCATCATTTCCAAGTTAACCAACGCATTGAACTATTTTTTCAGGAATCGGAGTACGTTGGTTTCCAGAATGACATCTACCCAGCGTACCAGCGAAGCACAGCGTGCAATGAAAGTGGTGTTATCAAGAAATCACCCACCAACACGTACGTAGTTCAAAACGTTAATTCTGCTGCTATCGACGTCGGGAAACAGTCGTCATCAGAGACTGATGAAGGTGGTGAGCTCAGTGAAAAGCATATCAATGAAAAAAACCTGAAGAACTTTCTCATTTTTGTTCTTCTTTTCCAAACTGCATTTGCTTGAGATAGCCGCATCGACACTGAAAATTGCCACACAGCTGTGGAGACTCCGGCATATCAATCACATTTCGCATATGTCATGAAGCCAAATGAGAGTCACACATCTAGTCCTTATTTGGTCGGAGTGCCTTACTGTACACAGGTAAGAGTTTGTAAGAGGTTGTATGGCAAATGTTACCGTAATAAAAATGTTGTCGAAATTCGTCTTAGCTATAACTATTGGTCAACTACTCAACGTTTTTATAAAATCGTGCAAAATTGAAAAGGAGCAAAGTACAAGTCCAAAAATTCCGTTCCAGTTCTCTAAGATTGGAAATGCTTTCGATCCTGTGGGACAACCTCAGATTTCGGAGTACCATCTTGAGGACCTCAATGATCTCGTATCGTGTATTGATGGGCAGCCATGAGTTTTCACTCAAGAATCAATCATCGATCAATCGAAATTAATTCTTCGCAATTCGATTGACTCGTCGAGTGGCTATAGAACTTCTTTTTTTGCGGCTTCTGTATAAAGATTGCTTTCAATGCTCTAACTTTTATTTCTTGCCTATTTATTTCCATGGCAGGATGCAATGTGATATACCACCAGGACGTTACTGAGAAATGAGTAAAACTCGAAACCTCAGTTGGGATTCGAACACGAACTGAAATCCCTATTGGAGGTACACGCGCTATCCACCACACCAACGGTGGACATTGGTCTGCCTTTCTCTCAGAAACGCTTTTACTCTGCCGACGCCATCATCAATCATCCGTCAACCCTTTTTATCTTCGCAATTTTTCACTTACACTATGCAGCGAAGGCAATGCATTAGCAAAGATTGATCTTGGGACTCCAAAGATCGGTCTCAGGAAATGCGAAAAGAAGATGACTGCTTTCGTTTTAAAACCATATGGTTTCGAATAAATAATAAGTGTCAATAAATATAAACAAATCAAAAGTTTCTCTTGTTCCCAACCAATAACTGAATTAAGCAATTTGGCTACAATTCTATCGACAACTGTTAGCAAAGATTTGTCATTTGTTTTGTCATCGATTGCCTCTTTATCATTTCTAACATAATAGGCTGGTACATCTTGTAGTAACTCTCGCGTCCGAGTTTCTACTAACCTCGGCATTGATTGAACAATTCTTTCTACTTCTGTTCACCAAACATGAGGTGCTATTTTATTTCTTCATTTACGTACAGGCTGACGTTTCGGGGATTTCGCCTTACTCAGAGCCTGGAAAGGTCAAGTTGACAGCAACCTATCCGGCCAAACACCTCCATAACCAAACAGAGAAAACCTTCTCTCTTTCTATGATAGCATTGCATAGGGTCGCATGTAGTTTACATGAACCTCGAGATAGACTCCGCAAAAAAGCCAGAGATGAAGCGCGAAATAGGTGTGAACAACACCAAGTGGGGGCCCTACCAATAGCACCATTTCCTCAGCCGTTCTTTAGACAACAAGAGCTCAATAATGAAGTTGATAATAAATTTCGGATGTTTACGAATGAAACTCTCAAAATTCTTAATCACTATCGTGCGAAAAGATACAGCCCAAACCTCACTGAAGTGCAAAAACGTGGTATGCGAGAGGTACGGGGAGCTGATAAGGTGGAAAAACTATCCGTTAGTGATAAGGGTGGAGAGTTTGTCGTAACTCCCATCAGTTAGATGTTGAGACAAAGGAAAAGCATTTTGAAGATGCTTCGCTTTATCGCCCATCATCTGAGGAGGAGTTCAAAAGTAAATACCGAATTATTGTAATGCTGAGATATTCGCAAAACTCCGGGCCGCAGGTGTCTGCGGTGGGGAACGAACGCGCTATTGTCCTTTCCGGGGACTAACGCGTTCACCACCACACGATGCGGATCCTTTGTTTAGCTTGTCTCTCAGCTGGTTCTATCGATCTTTTGGCGTCAGCAATCACCCGCCAACGGGATTGATCTGGGGAGCCCAAATCGCTGAGAGACGGGCGAAACAAAGGACCCGCATGGTGTGGTGGTGAACGCGTTACTCCCCGGAAAGGACAATAGCTCGTTCGCTCCCCACCGCAGACACCTGCGGTCCGGAGTTTTGCAAATATCTCAGCATTACAATTGTTACGGGTGATTGCTGTGGCAAAAAGATAAATAGAAATAGCTGAGAGACGTGCGAAACAAAGGACCCGCATGGTGTGGTGGTGAACGCGTTACTCCCCGGAAAGGATAATAGCGCGTTCGTTCGCCACCATAGACACCTGCGGTCCAGAGTTTTGCAAATATCTCAGCAACGTTGTGGTTGTATTTCGCTTAGTAACCTGCCATGAAAATTATAGGAGGCAGAAAACAAAATGTTAAACATTGTTATATTTCGCAAAATACCCTGCCGTTAAAAGAATAGGCAGTAAATAGAAAGGTTAGGATTGTAAATACCGAAAATTAAACCACGAATGGGCCAAAATGGTAAGAGCTGCTGGTTTAAAACGATCAGTTATCTCTCAACTTAGAGTTGACTTACCAACATGCCTCGTTTTGTACTTACTTATAAAAACTCATAAGTTAGTATCCAGCGATGATCTTGCGTCTACCGAACCATCATTATTTAAGGTTAGACCTATCATTAGCTGTGTAGACGGGCCAACGGACAGGATAACATGGTTTTTAACCCTAATATTTAGCCAGTTATTGAAACACATTACAGCCCATTTTGCGAATACCCAGATGTTTCCGGATCGTCTACGTACTGCGCAGCCCAGCAGCGCTTGCGTGATGGAGTCCTTCGACGTTAGCGCACTTTATAGAAATTTGTCGAATGACTCCGCAATGCAAGCCATATTCGAACTCCTTCTACAACACGAAGGAAAAATAAACATGTATGGCTTTAAGATAGAGCAGTTGATGGCACTCTTAAAAGAATGCTTGAGCTGCTCAATCTTCAGATGGTCCGGAAAGTACTACGCTCAAATAAGAGGGTTGGCAATGGGACAACGACCGGCACCAAGTCTCACCATTGCGCTTATGTCTGAGGTGGAACCACCGGTGATTAATCTCGGGCGGATACTCTGCTGTAGATATATAGATGACTGTTTTATCCTTTGCTCAACACAAGAGGAAATGGACAAATGCTTCGAATTGTTAAACGCACATCCAGAGTATATCAAGTTCACCCGAGAAAAGCCGAAAGAAAAATGGCTTCCATTTTTGAACGTACAAACTAACCTGTCAGAAAATGGCTACATTAAGAAGTGGTACCGGAAGCCAAGTAGTAAAAGCATCTTGGTACAGTACCTCTCTTCTCACCCTTCTTACACGAAAAGAGCTGTTGTAAGAAACATATTTCGAATTGCGGGAGGAGAGCAGAGAGAGGAGTCCCGGAACTTGGCACGGCAAGTAGCCATTTTCAATGGCTACAAAACTGTAGCTCGGGATATGTGTAGGGGATGTAGGAGGCCCCCAAACGACAACTCTAGCGATAAAAAGGTCTCGCTTATCCTACCCTTCATTTCAAATGAAGTAAGTGCAGCTATAAAACGCTGCTTAAGAAGGGCGGGTCTAGAGAATTCGGTAAGCGTAGTTGAAACACCACCGAGTAATCTTAGGCGCCGGCCAGTTCGTAACCGCCTATATGACCGTCTATGCGCAACGCAAAATTGCGTAATTTGCCCCAGTGGTAAAGACGGTGATTGCATGAGCTCGGGTATAGTTTACCTGATCTCCTGTAAGGCGTGCGGAGACGAATACATTGGCGAAACGGGCAGACCCCTCTGTGTCCGCATAAAAGAACACCTAGCCGGAAAAAATAAACCAAATACCCCGCTAGGCACGCATAGGACCCAAAGACATAACAGGGAGGACTTTGAAGTATGTGTCACGATCCTCGCGCAGGAATCAAGAAAACAAGCGCGCAATACTCTCGAGGCATTCTGGATTAATTCCAAAAATCCGAAAATGAGACGGGATTGATCTGGGGAGCCCAAATCGGCATTAAACCCAGTTAATCTGAAGCTTAGTTATAATCCGGATGGTGTGGTGGTGAAGTGCGCTGCTCTCTGGTAAGGACAATAGAGCGCGTTCGTTCCCCACCGCATACACCTGCGGTCCGGAGTTTTGCAAATATCTCAGCATTATATACGATGCTGAGATATTTGCAGAACTCCAGACCGCAGGTGTCTGCAGTGGGGACCGTACGCGATATTACCCTTTCCGGTGCTAACGTGTTCACCACCACACCATGTGGGCCCTTCGTTTCGCCTGCCTCTCCGCTGCTTAACAATAGTACACTTCATGCCAGGTTCTATAAAGCATTAAATATGCGAAAAAGTGGGACAGAAAAAGTGCCGGAATTCATGCTGGGCCCCTCGATGGAATATCTTTTGGAAATGTAAGCAAGCGCTGAAATAAAAAGTACTATGATTAACGGTAGACTCCCCGCTCTCATTATAAATTCTAGTAAGTACTTGATCATATTAGTGTTAATCTCAGCGAACGTAGAGCCTTAATTAGAAGTTTTGTTAGATACGCAGGATCGTAAGTTCGACCTCACATCACGGGCACACCAGGCCTTTCAGCGTTTCTGGTCCTGCTATACAAATAGGAAAAGGAGTACTCTAGGATAACAACATCGATTTAATTCGCCGATAAGCCTTTTGATTGCAATAGGAAAGCGATCTGTACGTCCGATTTACGTCTACGATATTCAGTGACGTCATAGCATGGCTGAATCGCCCACGGTTCAACCGTTTAATGATTGATCAACACTGGATCTCTAATGTTTCACCTTTTGCTTACCGCTGCATGCGTAAAATGATTCTCAAGGCCACTGTTAAGGGAACATACTTACTTACATGATAGTTGAACGGCCCATCCTCACTGGTTGTGGGGACCCCAGCATAATCACCATTTTTTGGAGATTTGCTGATTTAGCTACAGTGTTTCCCTGTAGTGCCGAGGTCAGCATAGCCGGGGGGGTCTGCTACAGGTCGTCACCACCACAGGTAGCCGCCGCCGTTGTGAAACAGAGGAAGATTTGCCACCATGACACTAGTTTGATTCCAGGACGGGGGTAGACCCTAGTTAAGAGAACAAGCATTATAAAATTATGGACTATATACTGGACTATATACTGTCATGGTCCAGAAATGTCGAACTTCATTTCCTGAAAGTTTTAGAAAGAGCAATATCAGCATTAAAGTGTCAAAACAGCATTGCAATATCAGCACTAAAAAGAGATTTACATTGAAAAGAAACAAATTTTATGTGGTTCGATAATTAGAAGGTCTTATTTCACATATTGTGTGCAGACCAGCATTATCACTTACTGACGTTTCGGCAGAATCGCCTTCTTCAGAGCCCCTTTTTTTCACCTGTCTTCCACCGAGGAAGAACAGCCACACAGAGTCGCATATGGTTGACGACTGCTGTCTTTTTGACCTAATAGTGCAAGACGACTGCGGTCGTCAACCAAATGCGACTCTGAGCGGCTGTTCTTCCTCAGTGGAAGACAGGTGAAAAAAAGGAGCTCTGAAGAAGGCAATTCTGCCGAAATGTCAACTACGATTGTATTGTATGTGTGTTATTGTATGGAAGTAAACGTATGCTGTTTAACAACCTCGCAATTTCTGAGAGGGAAAACGACTAATTCATGATTCAATGCCGAGGTTAATAGAAAGTCGATCATGGGTACTATTAACACTTGCTTCATTCTATAACATCCATCATCAACGAAGTTGGCCCGATTCGTGTGGTGATTCGACTGCAGGTTAGGGATGCGTCGTCTTCATCGCCGGATGATATGTCGAATTGCACCTGAGAGCAGCTTTCTGATATTTTAGTAAAGTCGTTTTTCAATTCTAAGAGTAGTAATTTTCTTAAATGTTCGCAAATTTTGGTCACAAGCATCAACACTTTGGAAAGCAGATTGATGCCTTGATAAGTTGCATCCAGGGCAACAACATTTCCTGTGCCTAGTGGCCCGATCAAACTACGGATGGACTCCGGCCCAATCTCTTCTTTTTTCTTTAAGTTTTAGTTTCAGCACATATTAAGAGAAGTAGTAGTAAAGGCAAGATACGCTGGCGTCATATTGCGCCAAATCCCCATTTGGACAAGGTGTGGAAATCCAGCTGAAAAATTAAAAAAGACAAACAATGCGTGATAGAACCCGCTCGAAAGAACCAAAGTATGCTGTTTTCTTTCAGCTCGAACGGAGACCTCGCCAATTTTTGTAAAATACAATTGATTTGTTCTAAAAAGAACTCCTCACTATTATCGGCTATTTCTCATTTCTGTATTCACATCCATTAAGACAGTCAACCGACATCTTCTAAAATGAAAACCAAAATTCCCGATGAATAAATGATTTCATTAATAAACAGTATCCGCTTCGGTAATCAGCTCTATATAAGGATGATTAGCCAGGTGCTTTCAATTCACAAAGGATTCACTCCACCATAATGGATGGCCGTCAGTACCTTAAGAGCTACTACTACCCAGCTAGATCGAAAACGAAGAAGGATTGTCAAACTGACTCCGAAACGTCAGAATATAGTCTCTCAACAACACATAAACATGTTGAGCAGGTAATTAGAAAGAAAAAAGAAGCAGTTTTTTGAAATTCTGCTTTTCATTGTAAGTGCTTCAGGAAACTCATCATTCTCAAGTGCAGGCATTACAAACCAATCGGATAGCATCGTATCCCTTTATGGAACACCAACTTGCACCGAAACCAGCCGTAGAAAAGCGTAAGAAGTCTTAGAGGCCTCTTCACATAGGAATACTATTGATCTGACATAGTTAGATATTATAGCACTAGCGGATCTTCTAAATTCTCAAAAGTAAGTATATTGAATTGGTATACTTTTACAGCTTTTATTGAATCATCATACTGCCAAACTTTGAACAGCTACTCCATCGACTATTTCATGGAAGGTCGTCCGAAAACCAGTCGTGTTGAATCTGACGTGAACATCGTGAGTTTTAATTGTTCATCATTTGGCGTGGCGGCCGTAGGAAGTTCTAACTTCACGGTTTGGAAAGAAAAGCTCCAACGTAATCATTGCCTAGCGGTGAAAATTTGCTCAAGAAAATTCGCAACCATTTGGCATTTAAAATATACAAGCGCACCAAGTGATGATTTGGAGTTCCCCATTTGTAGATATATGAGCATGGATAGCGCAGTGGCAATAATGCCGTTAATTACCAGCAAGTCGATGATCCGACCTTGGCTCGGTCCACCAAGCCTCCCATTCTTCCGACGTCGGCAAATTTGTGCCAGGCTACCTCGATTCGAACAGTGTGCCAGAACAACCATTACGAAGACGAAAATCCTCAAGCAGTAGCTGATGCAAAAAGTTCGAAAACCTTAGTGCAAAGTGGATGCGAGGGAACAAATCGAAGACCAGTACTAGACTCCAAACAGCGTACCATCTTCGGACAAATAGCAAAAAATCGTAAACTAATAATTCGCCTATATTATTGACCAACTGGCAAAATAGTTCGTGGTGATATGTTGTAGCAGCAACTGGAGAGCATACCGTCTGAAATCACGTGCATAAAAATTAAGGGATAAAGCTCTCGGCGCTGATCAATCACTGAGTGATGCTCCATGCACTCGACTTCATTAAACATCGTTTGAAGGTGACTAAATGCATATCCGGCCTTTACAATGATTCGCAGTGGCCTGCCGATGTATCGAGCCAGTGCTGCTATCCTCTCAGAGAAGTCTGGTACAAATTTGCCGAACCCGGAGGGATGGAAAGCTTGGTGGGCTATGCTGAAATCGATTTCACGTGTGTGTTTGCACGGTGCCTCCGACCACTGCGCCACAAGCACCATCGTCACGTGCGTAGTTGCAACGAAAGCGTTCACAGGGATTAGTACACACTGCAAAAAGTTGCATATATAAAATGATACTGTGCTCTATCACAACTCTTCAAAACAGTAAAACTACAACTCTTTGAGGTCTCCGAGCTTACATATACGACGGATGCAAGCTTGTAAACAACTTTCCGATCGTGATGAAATCGATTATTGTATACCTGACTTTTAACCATCTTATAAAAAAACACAGGCAAATTTCCGAGCAGTGTTTATTCCTGCTAAGCTTCTTACATTTATTCGATGTATGCCCATACAACATAGATGTGGATTCTATACTGTATTTAGACATATACAAAAGAGTTTTTCAGACGAGTTTACTCGTTCGGCTTGAATCCCATAGTAGAACACTGATAAGTGCGTAAAGGCAGAAAGGGTAACGCATATGATAAAGGTACCGGCATGGGTGGTGTCTGAGGGAGTCCAGCCACAATTAACTAACTTTTGTGCAGACAAAGAAACGGAAGGAATGTACATTTTCAGGATGCAATAATATTATTCGTACTGTGGCAGAGCGCTGACTGATCGCATCATCGACCGAATATTAAGTAATAGTCGACCATGCCTGAAGCCATTCAAATTGAATTATGGTTTCATTCTGCAAATAGGGCGCGTATGGCGCAGTGGTCGGGGACGCCCTGCTACGCACACGTGGAATCGATCCCTGCGCCCATGGCCCGCCAAGCCTTCCATCTCTCCGGAGTCAGCAAATTGGTACCAGGCTTGTATAGGAGGATGGCAGCACTCACCGCCATACATCGAAGATTCCGGAGATATAACAGGCTTCATCGGATCGGGTGCGGTTGAACCAGCACCTGAATGGGCACTGGCTTCAAACTGGATCACTATCACCGCGCTAGCCCCTCCGCATACATTGAGTAGGATCAAGATTACATGACGATCATAAGTTCCCATTGTTTTGATTCCCATTTTTGATAGTAGTTTTGTTTCCAGCGTTTTTAATTATTTTCTAGTAATAACAAAGTTTGCAAGAAACAGTTATGTTAATATAAACAATAAACTAACCAACTGAGAGCATTAAAACTAGAGCTCATCTGAGTAGAAAAAAGTACCTATGTCCGCTTGAGTGAAATTGCAACCGTAGAAGCAAAGACAACAGTGTTCAGATTTCAGCATACAATCGCTCCACATCACCGCTACCAGACTGTTCAAGAAGCACTGGAGCATCCTACAGCAGATAAACCAAATGGTGCTTGCGTTCAAGCGCTCACAACACTATGTGACACAAACCTTGATGAGAAAAACAACGCAGTAGGTTTACGTAGCACCATAAAAAACAGCTGATTGTGGATTTTTGATCTTTATAGAAGACATATGAGATGTCGGAATACGCATGGCAACGTCACGACGAAGAAGCTGCGGCACAGTATGCTCTTCCATATCAGCGTCACAGTATGTCGCTAATGCTCTTTCTGTAACTTTATAGAAAAGGGTAAAGTGGAAAAAAAATCTATGTTGCTCGTATAAATTAAGTTTACTCAAAAATTTCACATTTCTGCAATAAACGAGCCGAAACCTTGAAAGAGAAAGCGCAGGTCCTGTGGAGGTACTACTAACTCAGAATATTAAGGACTTAAATCATTTCTACTGACCAGTTATGAAGTTCATAAAAAGTATACTCGAAATATCGAACTTGCCATTGTTCATCATTTTATGCTTTTACTCTCACACCATGGGAATTCGCTAAAAGAAATTCTCAGTGGAAAGCGATATTTAGTCACAAAGTCGAGGAGCAGCAGCAAGCATAACTACTGAAACATATTACAACATTGCTGTAAACTCTGAAAGAAGTATTGTACACGATAGTTCAGGTGCAACTGGGAAAAATAACGAGGTCGGGATGGACCAGGTAGGAATAGGCGTTAAAATTACCTATCGTATTTTGATGTTGAAATTTCACCATTGAACACTATGGTATTGGCGAAAATGTCACCTGCCCTCTACAGGCCCAGCCTCAACATAATGAACTACTGCCGACCAACCCTGCTGAGGAATTCAGTGTGCCATGCAGTAAGACATGTAGGGAGGAGGAGAGCGTGGTTTGTTGGATTTGTACCTGTTACAAGGCATTCATGAAATAAAAACAACTTCTTCAGTACTCGAAATACATTGGAATTCCCAACGACCTCTTCCTTGCCTACCGATCGAAACCCTTCATCACCACAAGCCCCTACAAGCCAACACCAAGGTTAACTGCCCAGCCGCCGTCCAAGTATGCAATCTGTAACGTCGATTCTAGTGTGTCTGGCCTTACTCAACATCTATCGTCGAATGCAGTGGAAAACGGTGGGTGTAGAAGTAACTTCTTAAAGATCGGCTTTAATGTTTACCTAGCAATTTCGACGATATGAAAAAAAATTTAGATGAAATGCGTTTTAATGAAAAAGCTGATGAGATTCGATCACATCTTCCCGATTTCTCGACTGAAATCGAACTAGAACTCACAGACAAAACGGCTGCGACCCATTATCGTGTTGCTGAACATTGCGCTCCTCAGGTTAGTCACCTCTCCAAAGCTCAGTTATTCCTCAAAGATTAAAATGCACTTAGTCACTTTTCTAAATGAAGCTGTAAAGGAAAACTAGAATTCCTACATGGTATATTGAGAACGCGTGAACGAAGTACGCGTGTAGCGCGGCAACTAAAAGCGCCTTGCAATACACAGGTGTTTGATCCGCCGCCTCAGGCTCATCAAGCCTTCCATCCATCCGGCGACGGCAAATCGGTGCCAGACTTATCTGGGAAGATAGCAGAACTGACTCGATATATCGATAGGTTACTGCGAGGCCAGATAAGCATTCAATAATCTGCAACGATGCTTGATGAAGCCGAATCCATGGGGCATTCCTCATGCATTGATCAACGTCGAGAACTTCATCCTTTATCCTTTTGTACTGATTGCGCGGACATTCCTTCCACACTTCTCAGCTTCTATGTGAAGAGAATCTTTGTGTGTCACATAACGTATCATCTTGAAAGGAATAGGCTAAATCACTGGAGAAGAAATATATGGCTCATTGCAAAATGTCTACCGAAGGCAGAAATCCCTACGTGGAACATATGGCTTATCCCAAAACCTCTGTGAAACGCCTGAACCTCTGAACGGTAAAGCGACGGGAGACGGATTGTATATTTTAGAAGGCTAACTGGATTTTGCACTGAAGCCTAAGCAATAAAGGTTTTAAAAACAGAGTAAATCATGTTAGAAGTCTAAAAATACATTTTTAGATAGTCACGTGTCGTAAAATCGGTAAAATGAACGTTAAATATGAAAATGTAACAAAACATTTTGAATAGTATAGGTAGTAATTTTAGTATTTTTTATATAAAATACGACTAAATTACAGCACTCCGCAGTCGGGAAAGCGCTCACTCATGTCAAACCAGCTGCGGTGTTATCAGAGTATCAAGTCGAAGATCTCAACGACCTCACCTCATGTGTCGATGCGCTTTGATCTACTGGGATCGATTTGAAAAAGATCAACAGTCGATCGATTCGCGTGCATTGTTTGCAGCCTTTGGTCGTGTTGATTTTATTCAATAGCGCACTAATGCGCTAGTTTTTTATTGTATACTAGTGTTTTGTAATGAATTTGTTCTCCTTCTGCAGCAAATATTTATTTGCCTAGCAACCAGAACGACTTCAGCCAGTCATGCCATGAAAAGTGTAAAGCGTTCTTGTACTATTGGTCTTCCATAAAGAGTTCTTGTAATAACGGCCTTGAACACATATAATCGGAAAGTATCTGGCTTTTATTTCATAGGTGAAATACGTTGTTCTAAAGGGATACGGTGATTTTTTACGAATTCACTTATCAGAGCTAAATTATTTTCTAAAAAGAGCTTCAGTATTTTATAACTCATTATCTATGGGACGCGTGTGGCGCAGAGGTGGGAGACGCCTTGCAACACACGTGGAATCGATCCCTGCGCCCATGGCTCACCAAGCGTTCCATTCCTTCAGGGTCGGCGAACTGTCACCAGACTTGTCCGGGAGGATAGCATCACTGGTTCGATACATCGGTAGGCTACCGCGCGTCATTGTAAACACCGGATATGCATCACCTCCAAACCATACTTTAATGAAGTGGAATGCATGGTGCATGTATCAGGGATTGATCGACGCCGAGAGCTTTTTTCACTTAACTATGCGCCAACATACACAATATTGTCCCCAGGGCCAAGCGCTCAACAGAAAGACCAACGGTAAGAAGGTCACCATGGTTGGCAAGAGTACTAGAAAAGCATCATTATCCTCATCATCTGGTTGAGAGGAACGGAACGGAACGGTTAGTTAGAAACACGGCGCAATACTACTCACATGGTCGCTGGTTCCAGCAGCACCGATGTGAATACAACCTCTTGTCCTCAATCCTTGCGGAATCGGAAAATTGGAACAGGAATTTTCAATTGGAATAAGAACATTGACTCCATCCGACGACACACTTTGCGCAGCCCGATACCACATACCGTACGGATTTCAGCACTTCCTGCATTCGATTCGATTCTTCGTTTGCGCCACTCACGAAGAATCCATATATGCCTGTGGATTAGGTTGCTGCATGAGGACCTTTTGCTTTGGTCTTTCTATGAATATCGCTGAACACTGGGAGTGTCGATTCTCCCTAGAATCTTCGAATAGCACTGTTGGACTGTTTCCAGATTCTCGCCACAGATTGCCATGCTACCTGGCTTGACAAGTCTTCAGAACTCTCTGAAGGAAAAAATATGCATTTAACCACCTGATCGATACTACGAACGAGCTAGTATGCATTGTGTATCGCCACGGGATAGATCAACCTTGAGCACCGTTTTTGTGTCCCACCAATGTGCCGATTGCAACCACTTGTAGCGGATGGATACAAATGCCTTGAATCAATCCAGAATATAATCAACTATAACCAAACAAAAATATCAGCAATCATGACAAACAAGGATTATATAAACCTCCTTCATCAATCACAGAGCCATTCATTGATGATTTGAGCTCCCAAGTACATCTCATGCTTATTGCAATTTTGCAGTCGAACTCAGCAGTACTTTGGATTTAACTGTTATGTGGTATGTCTCACTCTTTTTTTCGACTATGATTCATACCATTTTACTAAAAAAACAAATTTTACTCATTTCAGTTGTTATGGGAGCAACATCAATGTACTATGTGCAAGTCTTTATCGGCATCACATCGGCATTCATATCATCGAACTGTGCGAAAGCAGGATATTCGGACTCCGAGACGATCCCACAAAAAGAAAGCTTGGTTTGTTTCGTTTTATCCGATTTCAAGTGCATCGGTAGATGAATCTCTTACTTTCGTCGAACTAGAAAATCATAGCTCGCGTGTTAATGAAGACTATTCTAGGATGATTCAATGTCTTCTTCAATACGCAGACACGAGGTTGTTAATATAAAATTTATTAGAATACCATAGCTGACGTTTCGGCGGTTTCGCCTTCTTCAGAGCCGTTTATTTGTTGTAAGTATTTAAGTTAGTTGATGGATAGCCGCCGCACAGATCGCCCATGTATTACTCTGTGCGGCTGCTATCCATCAACTAACTTAAATACTTACAACAAATAAACGGCTCTGAAGAAGGCGAAACCGCCGAAACGTCAGTGGTATTCTAATAAATTCTATATTAACAACCTCGTGTCTGCTTATTGAAGAAAACATTGAATTATCAATTAATGCCGAGGTTAACAGAAAGTCGGTCTTGGGAATATTCTAGGATGCTTATGAAATTAGATTCGGACTTCAACCAACAAACTATTTTTCAATAAAATTTTTTTTTCCACCATCAGAGTAGCCATCAATTGCAGAAAAAATCTTCGTCAAGCACGAGCTCAAAGGCTGGCAATCCTAGCGAACTGACTGCAAAGCCAAGCAAAAAATACTCGAAAGGCTCACCAGTTCAGCGACAAGGTGAGCTACAGTAATGGCGTTACTAACACTGAAATGCTATTGTAAAAACGGACCTCAATGAATTTCTACCAAATTCGGATATTCTTATGAGTGATTTAATGCTACTACGACTACAAGTCCTCGCGTCATGGCTTTGCTTTCGTAGAAGTCGCAATGATCAACTTTCTTTCTAAGAAAAAATGAGCTTGGATCGGCGCCATCATATTTTATAAATGGCAACAGGTCTTTATCCAAAACACCCCAACCAACAAATCAACTGCTCTCCGTTTTCCTTCAACTAGAGGTGAAATTTCATATTCCTCTACTTTTTGCGAACAGGAAGAATGAAACTCCTGAAATATAGTAATCGTAACCGACCCGCATTCATTCGTCGCGCGACGAAATGAATTGGGAAAATCCTTAAGAAAGTGTTCTCCAGAAGTTATTCCGCGGTACAGTCGCAGATCGATGCCACTGTTTTGGTGATACCGGGTGACTGGAAATGCTGCGCAAATTGTTACCTGTAGTAGAGGCTGATCCGTTAAATGCGAAACAAAAGACATAGGTGTTAGCGCTCGTAAAGTGCACCTTCTATTGCCCCCGAAAATCCTTTGAAAGAGGTGACAAGACGTGAAGAAAATTTGCTAGAAATTTTTATTATGACAATGTTTAAAAACATTGCTGAATATAAAATAGAATGACGGTGACAAATTGCTTTATTACCATTTAATCAGACAACCTGAGTTCATAAACTGAGCAGATACCAGCACACTTTGAATTCGGTTCGCAATCTTGCATCCGTCATGCATGAAAACATTCAAATCTGAGCGTGGGTTCGGGTGCAGTTTGAGAACTTTTCTTATTCACGAATGTCGCTGAATGCCGGTCTAGTTGAATCTGTGGAAACTCGATATAGCCGTGCTACAGCGTTTCCAGATCTTCATCTCAGAGGAAGTCACTTGCCCTTGTAGATTTAGTGGGGTGGAGGAGAATCTTTTCCCAGAGAAATCCGGTACCAATTTGCCGACACCCGAGAAATTGAAGGCTTGATTCACTTATAGGGGTGAATCGGCGACCTTGTGCTATGCTGGATAGGGCTTCGCGCTTCATGTTTAAATTTAATGATGAATATTATTGATTCTACTACCAACTGAACAGATGGAAGACCTGCCATCATGAGTACTGCAGCCTGCACAATTCCTATTCCTTTCATACTTTCGTCTACTCAGTTATCACTGTTTTAGCTGATCTGCCTCGTTCGTGCTGCTACTTGCAACAGTTTATTATTTGTTGATTCATAACTCACATTCATCTGAGTAAAATGGGTTTGTGCGAGCAGTAAAATACGTTCCATTTGTATTGTAGGTGGTCGTGAATATGTAAACATGTTACTGAATAGAAGCTGATGTCGGTCTGTACATTACAACTGGAGCACGTTTCGTGCCGACTGGGTCATGAATTTGCCACCGGGTCGTCTATTTTTGAATTTAAGCGCGTTTCTTTATTACGACCGGGTCAGATTTATTCTTTGTCAGGATAGCTTAGTCAGGCTATAATTTGAAGACTCTTTCGACTATGCCATTTACAGATTGATTTTTTGGGTTCTTCTTTCCTAATACCCTCCCAACGACTTACCGCCTCATCGCAGCTGGGAGGTGTTCCTGGACGTCGGACTGCGATGTACAGAAGGGGATCCATCCCCTGGCAGGGTCTCCCAAGCTGAGGAATTAGGCGTTTCCAGAAGGAAACCTAGCTAAGAGTAAACCAATACCAGGATCCACCACCGCCCTGGTATCAAAGTCGCATGGTGGTAAATCTCCCTCCGATCAACAAGGGATGCGACTACTCGTGGTGTTGAAGACCTAGGGCAGACTTTGGTCAGGCTGCTGACCTCTGAACTCCAGGAAACTATAATGGCTTAACCAGCAAATCTCCGAAAAATGGAGATTATGCTGGGGCCCGCACAACCAGTGAGGACGGGCCATTCAAGTATCAAGTATCAAGTAAGTATCTTTCCTAATACTTGCGTTTTTATTCACAACACCTAAAGAATCCTGATAGCCTGTTTGTAGTTGTAACTTTATATTAATTTCTTGATTTAATTTGTGTCTAACCCATACATCATTCTATCTAACGAGTAGTGGAAACACTTCTAAAACCTGTCTCTTGAGTTTAGTTACGTCACCAGCTCCAGTCGCTCCAGACACTTCACCAACTCCAATAGCTCCAGATACCTCACCACCTCCAATCGCCCCAGCCACGTTACCAGCTCCAGTTGATCCAGTTATATCACTAAATGTAGCAGCTCCAGTAGATCCTAACGCTGGGCGGCAACTTACAGCACCACAAAATCTGGTACGTCTTCCTTTTACTGTGCTAGCACTTCATTGTAGAAAATGATAAGGTTGAACTGTTCTGTATTTATCCAACCGGTAGCGATATGCAAGGCATTCGATTTCACTTGTAGCATCGAAGACGTAACAGAATGCGTATTTGGCTTAGACATTTGTGACCCGCTGATATCAACCCAGTGTTTTTATCCTACTAGAAAAACCGTAGCACTACTTTGCCAAATCCCCAGCGGTATGAGCAACTCTGGTTACACTAGCGGGCAGAATCGAACTAACCACCTGTGCATAAAGCTAACCTCTGACCACTGTATTGCACATCTCCTGCCTTTTAACTTTTTTTATGGTATTAAACCAAAGGAAACTTGTTTCCATTTTTAATAATAACAATGCTTAGTTTCGTTTTCTTGTTCAGCAATCGCGAGGTTTTTAAACAGCATACATTTACTTCCATAGAAAAACAAAATACAATACAACACTGGCTGACGTTTCGGCAGTATCGCCTTCTTCAGAGCCTAGAAGGGTCTACTGATATACAATCTACTAGGCCAAACGCTTCAATAACACTTACAAAAAGACGAAAAACTCCTTGGTAATTACATGATCAACAACTTTTCGAAAAAACCCACCGCTTTTTCGTGACTTCCAATGAGGAAGTTTAGAACAGCTGATTATAGTCGCATGTGGTTGACGACTGCGCCATCCCACCATAAAACTCGATGCGAACATACGGGATCAGGTCGCGTATGACCACCGAGCATTAATCCCTGCTATTCATTGTAGGGTTTTTGGCATTGATCCAAAAAGCCTCAAAAAGTTTTCGCGCTGGTGTTTTGAACTCCTGTGCAAGGATATTGACTTTTACTTCAAAATCGTTTCCGCTATGCTTTTGTATCCTATGCGTGCCTAGTGGGGTGCTTCGTCTTAGTTTTTCGTTTGTCATCTAGGTGTTGTTTTATACGCATACACAAAGGTTTGCTCGTTTCGCCAATATATTTATCTCAGCAATTATTACAAGAGATCAGGTATATCGTACCTGAACTCATGCAATCACCGTCCCTGCCGTAAGGGCATATTACGCAATTTGTTGTTACTACATATTACTCACCTCACAAACACCCAAATGTTCCTAGAACGTCTACGTAACGCGTCTCCTAATAACGCGTACGTGATGGAGTCTCTCGACGTTACCGCGCTGTACACCAACGTGTCGAATGACTCCGCAATGCAAGCCATCTTCGAACTTCTTGTTGAATATGAAGGAAGAATATGCATGGCTTGTCCATCCAGCAGCTAATGGCTCTCTTAAAGGAATGCTTAAACTGCTCGATTTTCAGATGGTCTGGTAAATATTTCGCGCAAATAAGGGGGTTGGCAATGGGACAGCGATTGGCGCCAAGCCTGGCTATTGTGTTTATGTCTAAGATAGAAGCCCCTGTTCTCGATCTCCGGCCACCACTCTACTGCAGATATGTAGATGATTGTTTTGTCGTCTTCTCTACGCAGGAGAAAATGGACAAATGCTTTGAATCATTGAACGAGCAGTCCGAGTACATAAAGTTCACCCGGGAGAAACCGGGAAAAAACTGGCTTCCGTTTTTGGACGTTCAAATAAACCTATCAAGTAGTGGTTACCTGACAAAGTGGTATCGAAAGCCAAGTAACGAGAACATTTTGTTCATTTCCTTTCTTCCTACTCTTCACACACAAAGAGGGCGATTGTGAGAAACATGTTTCGAACAGCCACCTCTGTGTGCACTACCAGGGAACTAAAGGAAGAATCGCGCGACTTGGCTCGGCAAATAGCCATCTCCAATGGCTACGAAATAGTAACCCCACGAGATAAGTTTACAAGGAGAGCGACGCGCCTACGCGAAACACTTGGCCAAAAGAAAGTCCCGTTTATGTTGCCTTTTATAAGCGATGAAGTAAGCGTAGCTATAAAACGATGCTTAAGAAGGGCAGGTCTAGAGGAATCGGTAGCGATAGTTGAAATACCACCGGCTACTCTACGTCGTCAATTAGTTCGTAACCGCCTGTATGACCGTCTGTGTGAAACAACAAATTGCGTAATTCGCCCTTACTGCAGAGACGGTGATTGCATGAGTTCAGGTACGATATACCTGATCTCTTGTAATAATTGCGGAGATGAATATATTGGCGAAACGGGCAGACCTTTGTGTATCCGTGTAAAAGAACACCTAGATGGCAAACGAAAACTAAGACGAAGCACCCCACTAGGCACGCATAGGATACAAAGGCATAGCGGAGACGATTTTGAATAAAAGTCAATATCTTTGCACAGGAGTCCAAAACACCAGCGCGAAAACTCCTTGAGGCTTCTTGGATCAATGCCAAAAACCCTACAATGAATAGCAGGGATTAATGCTCGGTGGTCATACGCGACCTGATCCCGTATGTTCGCATCGATTTTTGATGTGGGATGGTGCAGTCGTCAACCACATGCGACTATAATCAGCTGTTCTAAACTTCCTCATTGGAAGTCACGAAAAAGCGGTATTTTTCGAGAAGCTGTTAATCATGTAAATACCATAGAGTTTCTCGTCTTTTGGGGTTATTGAAGCGTTCGGCCTAGTAGATTGTATATCAGTATACCCTTCCAGGCTCTGAAGAAGGCGACACTGCCGAAACGTCAGCTAGTGTTGTATTGTATTGTGTTTTTCTATGGAAGTAAATGTATGCTGTTTAACCTCGCGATTGCTGAACAAGAAAACGACACATTCATATTGCACTGCTGAAGTTAAGAGAAAGTCGATCCTGGGAACTATTACAAAATGCTTAGTTTATTAGTTTACATTAACTATGTGACATATTGGTAAACAAAGTGGGAACTTTTTAGGGTCTTCAAACTACTGAAATGAAGAAGCCACAAGTGCAAAATTTGCCTCAGAAGAAACCACAACCACTGCTAACAATGTTTAAGGTATATTCGAAAAAAATGATAAAGTTGTCTTACATAAGCAAATAAAGTGTTAGCGTTAAAGATGTGCCGTAACAGAAAATATTGTTTCAGTTTGAATCTGCAAGCTTCCTGAATAGCGTGCAAAAAAATGCATCACAGGGCGATGAGACCGTAAACGATGCTCCCTCACTGGTGGTGAGCTAACAAATTTTACCTTCTGAAAATCCTGTGACTATGGCATCCTCCTCAACAACGCATTTGTTTAATAACTCTTAGGGTTTGCTTTTCAATTATGAATAAGAATAAATATTATAGCGTATAGTGTATTATAATTGTTTCTACTAACTGCGATGGAAACCCCAGAGTTTGGAACTACTGATAGAGATGTTGTGCTGGTAGTACCATTTTCCTGCCGTCGTTTCTGATGTCGGTCGAGTCTATTGAGCACTCCTAAGTTCAAAAAATCCCCGAAAATTCAACAAAAACAAAGGATGTCGTATTTTTAAAGTGTTAACCATGGATCGTTCAGTGTTGCTCGATCCCTTAAGGATGCGTCTTTCATTTCACTCTACTCCTAGTATCCTCGAGGCACTAATTAAATGAATGCATAGCTGACCTTTACAGTGACTTGCGAAGGCCCACAATGTATCATATCAGTATTTTCATTTTCCCAGACAAGTCAATTGAATTCGACCTTTGCAGCATCCAAAAGTTCCACACCACTATTACAGATGTTATTATACAGGTCCAAGAAATGTTAGTTTAACTGTATAAATAAAAAAATGGATAAAGCTGTCGGCGTTGATCAATCCCTGAGGGATGCGCCATGCATTCGACTTCATTAAGCATCGTTTGGAGGTGATTGAATGCATATCTGGCCTTTATAATGACTCCAGGTCGCCTACCGATATATCGAGCCAGTGCAGCTATCCACCCAGACAAGTCTGGTATCAATTTGCCCACCCCGGAGGGATGGAAAGCGTGGTGGGCCGTGGGCGCGGAGATCGATTCTACGTGTGTGTCGCAGCGGCGCCTCCAATCACTGCGCCACATGCTCCATGTTTAACTGTATACTACTCGCAAATGTAACCACCTAGTTTTCCCTCTTCTACTTTGCTTCGACAATAACAGATGTTTCCTGTCTACTACTTTTGAGTAATATAAAGTTAATCATTTTATTAAAAAGTTTTTTTCTTGTCAGTTTAATGTTTTGTCCTATTGCAGAAAATCAACGAGGATATACTGTCAGATGAAGCAGCAAGCATTAAAAAAAAACTCTCACAGCAAAAAAGTATCAAAGGACTCGGCAACTCAATGAAAACACAGGCATCTGCAGAACCAATAACAGCACGATCAAAAGAAAACACGGTGAAGTCCATCTCTATTGTGTCGACGGAGAATCTAAAAAGAGATCATACTCTAGACCGGAAGAGACCTGAATCACTTAGGACAAAGCAGCCTACACCAGACGAACGGATCGATCCAACAAACGAGCGCACGAAACCTGAACCAACTAAGTTGAAGGAACTCACGGCAGAAGAACAACTACATCCATTACAAGTCACAATGAAAAGTGTAAGTGATGTTAAGCTTCCACATTTACGATACTACAGAAAGCCTATCGAGTTACACGTAGAAACATAAGTGTTACACAAATAAGCATTGTTTCCTATGAAGCACCTGCCCATGTAAACTCTATACAAGAACAAGGATTTCACATCTCCATTACCATAGGTTTTTGCTTTTGCGATTTCAAATTTTAACGTAAGATTCTAGAAAGTCTCACATTGCAGATATGCCTATCATTTTCGAAAGGTCGGAGCTTTTACAAATGGCCCATCCTACTAGACGCTGCAACAGAGAAACTGATTACTTTCTAAACATAGCGTTTCTTCACGTTTGTCCAGCGATTCGCCCTACTATAGAAGTCAGGAGATTGCCGGCAATCTCTAAACGACAGTTTAATACGAGCGAATGAACAATTGCAGTGTTTCGACGTATTTGATTTAAGAAAGTGTTTAACCCACCGATAAAACTACTTAGTTGACATCGGGTTAGACGTGGTAATTCAGATTGCAATCTCGTTTTCTGCATACATTGGCTAACTTCACTCCTAAACAAGAACAATTAATGAAATCCCTTCCATGTCTTACCGCTACTTAATTTCTTTGTTCTCTATGGTTCCTGTTGTTGGAACGACTAATATCCCTTATCGAATGTGTGTGAATGTTGGACACATTAGATGGGATACTAGCAAAAAAACTATTTATAACTTTTGAATAGAGTGGTAATATATTATAAAGAAATTACTCTTTACTATAACCTACAGGCACAAGCGATTATAGCTGACAATTTAAAAACTATCTTTTAAAAAATCCGTAGATCTAACGTTGTAATCATTGTGCGTAAGAGAAACGTCTTCGATACGCCATCGCTCTGCAAAGCAGCGATTTTTCTCACACTAAAGAATATCGCTGCCATTATATTCTCATAGAGATTTCAACTATAGTCTCAGCTTAAATGGGTTCAATGACAATTCGGGCCCTCCAGATCAATCCCGTTGATGGGCGATTGCCGATGTCAGTGATCGATAGAATTAGTTGAGAGATAGACGAAACGAAGGATCCGCATGGTGTGGTGATGAACGCGTTAGCCCCAGAAAGGGTAATTGCGCGTTCGTTATCCACTGCAGACACCTACGCTCTGGAGTTTTGCCAATACCTCAGCATCATTTCGGTTGTTTAACAAATAATACCCTGCCGTTAAAACATGTAAAAGGCAGTAAATAAAAAGTCGGCACTCTCCATAGACTCTGAATCGTGGTTCCAATAACGGAATGAAGTTAACTCCACATGGGAAACACTTCATTTCAATAACTAAGGAAAGAAACGCTTAAAGAGAGTGAAAACGATCAGCTATTGTAAAAGTTCACTTAGTATTCATTGTAGAAGTTCCTACACTTCGTCTGTAGACACCATCTGGCAACATTAGCATAATCAAGACCACTTAGCGAATTTAACTTTAATAATGGGATTCAACCCACTGCACGCTTCTACAATAAAGATCCGATTGGTCAGCAAAACTAATCAAAGGAATCGCTGCGGTCCTAGAAGAGTACTAGTTCTAATAAAACTCCCTTCGCTGGCCAAAAGCCGGTGACAACTTCTGACTAGGACCTTGAAACACCTGAACGCTGCAATCTCGCGATCCCACGAAAAACTGTGCTCACCTGAGAACCAGAATATCAATAAGGAGAGAAGATGACAGATTCTTAAATCGTAATACTTACTTGTATACTTGGATGACATGACCCGTCCTCACTGGTTGTGCGGGCTTCAGCAAAATTTCCATTTTCTCGGAGTTTTGCTGGTTCAGAAATTGTGGTTCTCTGAAATCCCGAGGTCAACCTGGCCAATTTCTGCCCCAGGCCTTTACCACCAAAGGCAGTCGCAGCCCTTGTGCATCAGAGGGAAATTTGCCACTATGCGACTTTGATACTTGGACGGCGGGATCCTGGTATTGGTTTAATCTTAGCTAGGTTTCCTGATGGAAACGCCGGACTCCTCGACTTCGGAGACACTGGCGGGGGGACAAATACCCTCGCTGTATATCGCATTCCGACACCCAGGAACGCCACCCTGCCACGATGACGCGGTAAACGTAACCTGCTGGGAAGTACGCCGTAATCCAGCACACAAACATGGAGAGCCCACCATCAACATGGATTACGATTCTAGAACAACGAATCTGATAGAACGTGATCCAGCAGGATATAGAATATGGATTACCCACGATATTTTGTTAATGATTCGAGGAACGACGTGAAAAATACGACAGACACCCATAAGGTTAGATTGCCCTACTCTCCAAGTAATGAAATAGGTTCACCGTTTCAAACTCGGCACTATATATAGCCAACAGAAAAGAAAACGAATGAGTAGCTATAATTATCCTCTTATATTTTAGTATCGCAAAGAAGACCCAAAGCACAGTAAAACGTCGAGCTTATAGGCTCAGATTGCGGAAATATGTTATGAAATGGTATATTTTGCATTCTGACTTGATACATATCTGAATAATATTGCCAGCAAGTAGAAATAAATAGTTCGGATTAGCCTTCAGCACAACAGAAGTCGAATTTTCTATATTACAGAACTCAATTGCGACATATTCGTTAAAAGTTGGAAGGGAATTTCTAATGAACGAAACATAAGAAACTTGCAATAGAAATGGATTCTATTATTTAACAGAGTTTGATGTGGTCTCAAATAATCAAATATCATAAGACAAATCTTTGAAAATTAAAACTACAGGGCTGTTGGGAGATCGTGATTCAATAGAGAAACAGTGAGACGTAGAAGACAAAGGCTAGAACACACAGGATAATAAATACAAACCAAACATTCAAGCACCTCATTCTGGATTGAAATTGCTTAGAAACAGTTACTAAATGGTGACGTGGAATCGTAGATGACATTCGGGTCACCGTATCGAAAGCACAACAACGACAACGCAACACCGGTGAAAACAAGGAAATTGTACCGATTTCTAGAACCATGGAACTTCCACGCAAACCTACCAAAAATCTAGTTGCTTTTACCAAAGATATTAGTTTACGGTCTACCGATTAACGTCTGGAATGTGTTAGCTGCTCTCACATTAATCAAGGAGAAGCTGCCAAAACCTTGCGTCCAATGGCAACATTCGGGCTTCCACATTCTACCGAAGTCCACGAATACAAATCCTAGTCACTTCAAAAACAGCTAATAGACATGCATTACTATTAGCATAAATTGGGCAGGTATTGCTGAAGTGTTTAAAAAGAACTTCAGAAATCCCGCTCTGCTTACAATACGGAGAGGTAAGCAACTGCTGTCATCTCAAAGAGATCCATAACTTCGACTCTTCTTTTAAGAATACATATTTTTTTCAATACAGAATATTTTCCAACCCAGAATTTTATTACGCTTGTCATCCGGCCGTTACGTCGTCCTCGAGCGGTTGTTCAACTAGCATTTGTTGTAGCCATGCTGGAAGAATTTTACTCACGATGGAACAGACCTTTCTTGATCCGTTAGCGTCTATCTCGAAATTTCATGGAAAACTGCGCTGAACCAAGACTCAACGATTAATATCGACAGAATACGACAGATCCTTCAACCACGATTCAACACACATACACGACCACTTCCATAGATGAGGGTTGCATGGCAAAAAAAACCATTTAAAGAAGTGCTGTGACCCGTACATATAAGGATGAGCGATCTGGAGATCGAAACAAGCTGATTAGCCATGTTACCTCTCTTCAACACAGCAATGATAATGTTGGCGTTGATCGAAGTAACGTAAATAACCACCTACATTAGGGTCTGAATCTTTCGTTCACTGAAGAAATGAAGCTTTCCTATGAGATGACATGAAAGCACATGTTAACGTACTGCAGATGCCTTTCTGTTTTGTAAACATGTCTACTAGTAAACTACTAACCACAACAACGGATGAATTCGACATTTGTGGAAAAGTTACCACGTGAGCTCAGGTGATCACCATGTGAGCCACTTTTTTGCCTTCTGTGTGTTAGCATTAACTGATATCGAGTTTGAGTTTCAGCATATATTCAGCCATGGTTCATTGTTTTCTTGGTGAGTAGATAAGAGGTTGCTATTATTATTTACTTCACGACAACTAATGTTACGGCGGATTTTGCTTTCTTCAACACTCTGGAAAGGTTTAGTTGATGCTCAATTGACTCGGCCAAATTAAGACGCCAGCTAGTTGGCAACCGTTTGTATGACCATCAACGCACAACGCAAAATTGCATACTTTGCCCTAACAGTAAAGATGGTGATTTCCTGAGTTCGGGAACAGTGTTGCTGATCTCTCGCAGAGTGCAGTGACGAATACAGTGACGAAACGGATAAAGCACTGTGCGTCCATATAAAACAACATTTAGTCGGAAAAAGACCGGCATACGCCAACTAAACAACGGGACCCTTATGATCCGTGGAGAAAAGGCCCCGTCACGAAATGTCGGTGGCATAGTCTTTGTCGTCCACCAGCCCATCGACCACTCGTCGACTCACACGTGATCCTTTCCCCTTGCATAGGCGTTCTCCGTCTTCAACTGTCGCATCATAAGAAGATCACTATCATCAACTGCTACTCACCGACTGACACAGCTGATGAGTACGAATTAAATGCTCTACTATCAGTTGGAAGAAGTCATCCGCAATGATAGAACATATCATAAATTTGTTGCTGGAGACTTCAACGCTGGAATAGGAAAGGCCAACGGGAGCGAATACAGGGTCGGAAATTTTGGATTAGGAGAACGAAACGAGAATGGCGAACGTCTTGCAGGACTCCTGTCAGCAGCACATCTCTTCCATGGAAACTCGTTTTTCCAGAAGAAAGAACGCCGCCGCTGGATATGGGAGTCTCCCAACGGCATGACTCATGCGGAATCGACCATATTCTGACAAAGAGGAGATGGTGCCTACTTGACACATCGGTAGTCCCTTCATTCTGTACTGGTTCCGATGACCGCCTTCTTCGCGCGAAGATTCGATTCAGGCGTAAGCTGGAAAAGAACCCTCTCTATCGACCACGAGGAAGAAGTCTAGCTGCGTACGACGAGAACAATC